ACGCACCTTCCATAAAAAGTTCCTCCTGTCCACATTTCAAAACACCTTGCTTAACGTCGATCTCACAACAATTATTCCTCATAAAGTCTAGGCCTAGGATGCAGTCGTCCATTATATCAGCCACGACGACATTATGCAGGTAGATCACGTTGCCTAGCTTCAACTCCATCTCCTTCTCTCCACGGACGGGTATACGCTGACCGGTGGCTGTTACCAAATTAATGCGTTCTCGGTTGTATGCGGAGTCCCCAAGGAACTGATTTATAAGTTGGGAACTAACAACCGTACGAGAGGCTCCAGTGTCTATGGTTAAACTGACCATACCGGCATTCCGTTGACCTCGCCCTTGATGATTAGACTGTTCCCATCATGGGTTTGTGAGATCGAGATCCTTGGGGCTCTTTCATCAGCTAGCACCCGCCCCGCAGTTCTGGCTTTTACTCGTTTCCCTGCTGCTGCTGGGCGATGTTGTTGGCCGCACTACCCTCCTGAGATCTTTCAACTTCCCTTTCTAGGGTTCGCTTAGGGCAGCTGGATCGAAGATGGCCCTTTTCCCCACAGCCATAGCACCAAGGGCTGTATCCTCTGTTGTGGTCGCGAACTGTAGCTGCTGCAACCTCCCTGACGCGATGGGAACGATGATCCTGCCGCACGGCTTCCACCTCCAGTGCATGGGGGCCAAGGCGTTCTTGAGCGTCTCGTGGTGCCCGAGCCTCACAGCAGCTCTGACTTCCAGGTCGCGGATGCCGTCGATGAATGTCTGCACCAGGTTCCCTTCAATGAGCGCAGGTACAGACTGCTTTCCGCACCAGCTTCTTCACCTCTAGAGCCCACTGCTGCAGGTTTTCGTTGATGCGCTGCACGCGATCTTTAAGCTGCGCACGAAAGACATGTTCCAGGTGAGCGTCGCCATATCTCGCCTCCAATGCCTCAAGGAGTTGCTCATAAGTCACTTCCTCCCCGAGAGCTTCCAGAACTGTTAAGGCCTGGTCACGTAGTGTGAGAGCAGTCATTGCCTGACTTTTATTCCAGCCGTTCGCCTTCATAACAGCCTCGAACTGGATTTTGTAGGCTGACCAGGAAGAAGTCCCGTCGAACGGTGGCACTTTGAACCCACGTAGCGAAGGTGTAGTAGCTACTACGGGAGCTGTAGTTCCATCACCCAGTTTGAGGTCGTCCAGCGTTTTCTTCACGTCAGCCACCACGTAATCAACCCGATTGTTCACTTGGTCGATTTGGGTTTTAGCTTCCTTGATTTGGGATTCAGCTTCGGTTGTCATGTTGAGCAACCCTATCCTTCACCTCCCTTATCTCTTTCCCAAAGGTAGCATGAGGTCCTTCATAAGGAGCATCTGCTCTTCCTGTCGGCGGGCCTGTTCCTCTAGTCGGCGGGCCTGTTCATCCTGTCCGCTCTGCAGCTGCTGCAGCATCACCATCAGAGCACCTAAGTCAGGTGCTGCAGATGTAGGAGCTACCGACGGGCCTGCAGCCGGTGGCTGGCCCTCCGACGTCTGCGGCGTTGCACCACCAAATCTTCGTTGGTCCGTCTCCTGCTGGCGTTGACTTCGGGTACGGACACCCTCCGTTTCCTCCTTAGGTAAAATCGGCATGATTTTATCCCACTTCTGACACCAATTGTTACGAGCTTGAGGTTCGTGACAATAAAAATTGCCGATAAAATTACCTAAATTAACACTTTAATTTACTTTACACAAATTAAAACTTAAAACACTGATAATTAAACACACTAATTCACTTTATTCCGCTCCGAAGCTTCGCTTGTCTCGCCAAATCAACACTACACCTCGATCACATCTTGCAGCGCCTATTTATTTAAATTAGCAAAGAAGCATCCGGAATATTCAAGTAAATGCGCGCAAAGGGACGAGTGTGCGAGTGTAGATTTTCTAGAAACTTAGTTCTTCGGATGGCGCTGTCGCTCTCGTTCCTGACACTAGATGGCGCTAGTTGACTTATTCACGCAACACTAATTTAAATAGATATATTTGTAGTTTAAAGGTTATGTTAATAAATTTTGTTAAACATACATTTGGTATGTTTTGACATAGATACCTTTTAAAATATTCAGATAAAAATATCATTAACATGTAATTGTGATATAATATTATGTAATATTATATTAAATAAGCAAATATAATATACAAAATAAATGACAAAATTTAAATATTGTACTCGATATAATTTACCTATTAAACAATACAATCTGCTATTACCTACAGGTCATTCTACCTATGTTTATTCTATGGTAAAAAAACAACCGCGCGAACACAGAGTAGCGCACATTTTTTGTTTGGGATAGCTGTTCTAGTACATTAGTGCATATTACTTCAATGATGTAAAACTACTAATTTTCTTACAATTTACTACAAAGTTTCTTGTTAATAAGATATTATAAATTATTGTTATTATCATTCCTGTAAAAATCAACACATCTATGTTTTAAGTCTTAATCAAGCATACAAGTAGATGTACATAGATATATACAGGCCACACTTTCCAATTACTATCAGATGGACTTTATGCATTTTATAAAAGACAAAAAACCATTATTTTTCATTTTTGTCTATAAAGGACATTCCGTAAGCAGATTAGAATCTCATTCACATCATCACATCATGAGTATCATCACACAAACCAATTGTAAATATGCATGGGATAAAGCTTCATTATGAATTGCCAATCGAAATGCTTGATATTTTATATTCATTAAGACTGTAACAAAAGTTATATTAAATCATGAAGCATAAATTGTCTGGTGTTTACGTTATACTTTTCAATATGTATGTATAATATACTTTATTGTAGATCATAAAAATAAAACAGATTACAGAAACAAAAACATAAGAGGCAGGTTAATGTAAAATTGAATGATTGGACAATGGGATGAGGTGTATATAATAAAATTACATGCTAATACCTAAATAAAGTATACCTTGTTACGGGTGGCTAAACTCACCAAGATGTTCACATCAGCAGAATATTCTGATTACAGACCACAGGAAATGCTGAGTGCACAAACAGAAACTGCCGAGCTTCTGTGTGGACTCTCATGCACTTTGTTTTAAGAATATAATGTTCAGTTAGTCTTTTTAACATAAACACTCACGCCTGTCACCCAGAGGGGTAGGCAGAGACTACAGACTTACATTTAGCACGATCCTGACATACCTTTCTCGCCTCTTCCACATACCTACGCATACATGCTCGTCGGTTAAGGGTACTCTTAATTTGGCCCATTTTTAGTATATCGCCAATTTGGTCGACAAACGTCCGCCTAGAACGTCCCTTTCCGACTCTTCCATTCACTTCTGCAACATATATTTGCTTTGTCAGTCTTTCCGCATTAATTCTTTCTACATGACCAAACCATCGAAGCATTCCTTTCTTAATCCTGGTCACCGCATCATCTTGCAAACCACACTCTTCTTTTATCACACAGTTTCTCACCCTGTCACTCAGATTCAGCCCTAACATACTCCTTAGCGACCGCATTTCTACTGAATTTATTCTACTCTCGCGCTTCTTCTGCCACATCCAACTTTCACTACCATACGTTAAAGTAGGGACTAATACAGCACTGTGAATTGCCATACGTGCCTTTTTTGACACATTCTGACTTTTCACAATAGAGTGTAGAGCCCCATTTACTTTATTTCCTGCATTCACTCGTCGTTCAATGTCCTTATCATATCTCCCATCCCTGCTGAATACACATCCCAAATATACGAACTCATCCACTTAACTCAATTAACTCTCCTTCTATTCTTATTTCACATACCGTTTTGCTTTCATCTCTTTCAAAAACCATCACTTTCGTCTTACTTGCGTTCACTTTCATTCCCCTTTCTTTTAATGACCTGTTCATTAATGTAACCATCATTTGCAACTCGGCCGCCGACGACGCAAGTATGACTTGATCATCGGCGTACAAAAGGCATTTGACGGTTAACTCATTCTTAATCCGCATTCTACAACTTTCAAATTTTGCAAACAACTGTCTATAAATAGGTTGAACAGCCACGGGGAAGCCACACAGCCCTGTCTGACACCTTTATGGATGCCAAACCAGTCCGAGTAGACCCCGTTGATTCTAACACAAGCACTCGAGTCCCTATACAGAGACTTTAATGCCTGTATCAATTGTTTAATGCCTGTTGCGGACTTTTGGACATGTCAGCAACACGTGAGCCGCCGTTTCTTCCTCTCCCATGCATGCTCTGTACAGGGGGCTGTCAGTAACACCTGGGGTGAACAAATGTTTGTTAAAAGAGCCATGTCCTGTGATAGCACTTGTTACTATCCTGATCTGTGGCTTGTTCAGTCTCATTAGAACCTTGGTTAGACGACTGTTTATTTCAGGTAGGGCCTCCCTAGCTTGTCTACAATCTACTAAATTTTTCTGAATCTTTTCTTAAGCTGAGCGTGTGAATTATTGAAGTATCTATGTACCAGTGAACGAACGTAGCCAAAGGGGATTGGTACTATTGGTTCTGGCCCTATAGTTGCTAGGGCCAATCCCCTTCTGGCCAGTTCATCTGCTGCATCGTTGCCTCTAGATCCACTCTGTCCCTTGATCCATTGCAGAGTCACATTGTTGTGCTTACATACCTCATTCAATCGTTGATGGCATTCGTATATCAGTCCCAAGTTCGTCACATTGCAACTCAGAGCTTGTAGTACCGCCATACTGTCGGTCAGTATTCTGATGGAGAAGTCTTTCACCTTCCTAGCATCTATTGCTATGGCCGCTTGGATGATACCCATTCATTCACCCTGGAAGACTGTGTTGTGGGTGGTTCAAAAATTCTTTAAATTATAGCTAATTTTATAACAAACAGATAAACAAATCTTATTTTACCTTGAGTAACAAGTTTTCACCTTGGCAAAAACAGGCATTGGTGGCACTGGTATATGATTTATTTTTACTTATAAATGCAATCACTTTAAAATATCATTGTTTTATCAATCGTTGCTTTCAGGAATCAAATACAGATTCATTGTCAAAAAAGAGTGAAATTAGTTTAGCAAGTAGTAATAATGAAGAATTAACTAATGAGCCCCTTGAGAATGAAGAAGTGCATCTTAGACCTAAGCCTGTACATATTGGTGAAAGAAGCTCTGTGAATCAATGCATAAATGAGCTTTCTTCTAATCTAGCTGTTGAAGCTCGAAGAAGGTGTAATAGTGAAGTAGTACAGAGAACTGAACCTGATAAGAATAGTGATGGTAAAATATTATGTGATATTTTTGATAAATTATAATTAATATAACACCATAAAAATAATGTTTGAATTTAATCTATTTTACAGTAGCAGGAGAACAAAAAATTCAAACTCAAGCTAAAAACCGTCCAACATCCCAAGGTGGAGATTTTGTAACAGTAATTGAGGTAAATGGATTAAAAGTTGCAGAAAATGCACCTAAAAAGGCTGACGAGTCCCCTCAGTCACCTGAGAGTACTACTGCAGATTCAGCAATCGCTACAAAAAAGAAAGTACCGCCTAAGTGAGTGCTTTGTATATTTTTAAACATATTCTAATTGAATTTATAAACCACTATGATGATTGATTAAAGTGTTTCTGTAGACAAATTGGCATAGAAAGCGATTCAGATTTTCTTATAGTCGGTGTATATAAGTTCTATAGTCTAGTGATTACTTATAGCATAGCAACATTATCTGTGTGACGTGACGACGATATATATATATATATATATATATATATATATATATATATATATATATATATATATATATATTTTATATATTTTATTAGTATTCTATGAGGAATACCTATGTACACAGTCAAAAAAGTCTGTACGAGGGTGACACTGAAAGTTCTTAGAACAGGCCACTTGTGAACGATATAGTAAAAAAAATAAGTTCAAATTTTGAAAATGGGAACTCTTTGCCAATATTATTTTATATGTATTTTATTAATTCGTCATTTGTTTACGATTTGGCGGCAAACTGAAAATTGTCTGTGTCACGTCAGAATGAATATCAACACAATGTCATTTAAGTCAATAAGGAAGTTATAATAGACATCGATTGGCCTTTCACGATGAAGCCCAATCTCGTGCCACTGTTTACAACTGGTTTAATGAGTTTAAACATGGTCGCACTAATCTCATCGATGATCTGCGTGAGGGACGGCCTTCTACGGCGACGACTGAAGAAAACGTCAGTGTTATGCGGCGTATGATAGAGACTGCCAAAAGAGTAACTTATCAACAGGTTCGGACAAGCTTAGGCATCGGTATGAGTCAAGTAAACAAAATCCTCCATGAACACTTAGCGGTCAGGAAGCTTTGTGCCCGGTGGATACCTCATAATTTGACAGAGGCCCAAAAACTCCGTCGCGTTGATTAGTGTCGTGCAATGGTTCAAAGATTTAACGGAGGTGACTCAAATGCTGTGTTCGACATACTTACAGGTGACGAAAGTTGGATTTATTGCTATGATCTTGAAACTAAGAGACAGTCTGCTGTCTGAGTTTTTCCTTCCGAGGAGTTGCCAACTAAAGTGAAATCGAAGCCTGGGAAAAGATGGTGGCCTCATTCTTCGGAAGGACAGGTCATTACGCAACAATTATTTTAGAGGATCGAAAAACAGTTACTGCAGAGTGGTACACTAACAATTGTTTGCCACTTGTCTTGGAAAAAGTTTGGGAGAAACGACCTCGCAGTAGGATCCTCCTTCGCCATGATAACTCCTCTTTGCACACCGCCAAGCAAACAATTGACTACTTGGCGACGTGAGACGTAGAATTACTGGGTTACCCGACCTTGCACCTTGTGACTTTATTCATTCATATATTTCCGAAAATAAAAGAAAAAATTAGAGAAAAACGTTTTATGGACGTCGAGGAAGCAGTGGCTGTGGTTAAAAATGCCGTCGAAGAGACCCATCCCAGAGACGTCGAGAGGACGAGTGGGCAAAATGATTTTCTCAGCGATGTATTGATTTAAATGGACACTATTTTGAAAAGATATAATAAAATTTAATAACTTGCTAGTTTGTTCAGTTTTTTCTAAAAACTCAGTATCACACTCCTATTCACAAATAAAAATAAATTTGAATTTACATATTATTTAAAATACAATAATACTTGATTGTATAGTGCAGGTGCAACATGCACTATAATTGCAAACTAGTGCACAACATTTCTATCTCATCCTTCGCCACATCAAAATCATTTTATATTGATGTAATGCATATGCTTTATTAGGTAGTATCACCTATCATCTCAAGCAGGTGTTGTATTATCTTCATCGTTAAATTCTAAAGGTAATAGTCGACCAAGTCCTTCCCATCGCTTGTCGATTATTCATATACAGCCATCTCATTATCGCTTCTGAGTACTGATCTGTTGTGCTGTGTATCCGTGTCATATTTTTTCTTGTTTAACGTGTTTATTGTTATCAGACCTCCACCGAAAGTATTCAGCAAACGTGGTGCGTCGTTACCAGAGACGGGTTTAGAAGACAGTCCCCCTTCATCACTTGGGCGAAGACTACGCAATGCTGATTCCCGAGAGTCCATCGCCAGCCGAGCATCTACTCCCTCAATCAGCGAAAGAGTAAGGCTTAAGAAAATTGAAAACTTAATACAACTCTTACTCATATATTTAAAACTATTTTCTCGCCAATCGGAAAAATAATAATATATTATAAGTGGTAGACTCACGCTGCAGCTATGTCATAGTTTTAGCACGAATGGGTCGGCTCGACCGGTTAAAGACCACGCTCTCACAGAATACCAGCATAATATAGCAGCTTAATGCTGCTGTGTTTTGTATGTTGAGTGTAGAGAACTGGGGACCCTATTTACTGAAAACAAGGCATTCAATCTCCGTCCTCAGGAGTGACAATGCATCTGCATTTTTATTCTGAATTGGTGATAAATGTAGATGTCTATGGGCCACAGCATTTACTTACCATCAGGTGGATGTTGTGCTCGTTTGTCACACTTATTCTATAAAAAATACATCAATTTAATTAGTTAGGTATCTAAGATTCAGAAAGATCTTAGAGAGTCAACTCTCTACTCAGATAAAGTTGAGTAAGTAAAAAAAATATATTATTTCTTTCTCTAAAGAGAAAGATACATTATATCTGCCTAAAAAATACAAGATTTTTTATATACCGGAAGTGGCAAACTTCCAATTGACCCAGATGGTAAGTGGCTACTGCAGTCTTATAAACAACTGCAGCCAATTTCAAATATATATAACATTCCTTCCAAAAGCCAAGTATTTTATTTATAAAAGTAAGTATTGTGGATGAAAGAATGAGGAGCGCAGTCGTAGATACAAGGGTTTACCGGGGGTCCAACGTAGGGACGGATCATTACTTGGTCTTATGTCGAATTAATGGTCTTTTCAAGCGTTGGCGGCATCGGACATCTGTATCTACCACTGCGTTACAGCGTATAAGAATAGAGAATTTACAAGATGAAGATGTGATAGAGAAGTATAAATGTAGACTGAGAGAAAATATTAGATGTTTGAATGAGTTGTGTATGAATGATTTAGACTTGAATACTGTGTGGGATAATATTAAGAAAGGTTTGGTGGATACCGCCACCGAAGTATGCGGTGTAAGTAAGAGAACAAATGAAAGGAAAAGTAATACGTTATGGTGGGATGATGAGGTACGAGTGGAAGTTGAATCAAAGAAGAAAGCATGGTTAGATTTACTAGCAACCAAAGCTGATAATTCTTCTGGTATGAATGATGAGATTGAAAGAAAAAAGGCAGAATTTAGACGTCTAAATAAGAGAGTAAAAGAAGTTGTTGAAAGGAAAAAGAAAGAAAGAACGGATAAGAATGATAGAAGGATATCTGATAATTTCCAGGCTAACATAAAAATGTTCTGGAAACTCTTAAGAACTGCCAGGGGAAATACAAAACAGCCTATAATAAATGCTATAAGAGACGAGAATGGATGTACTCTGAATGATGAAGTTTCGAATTTAAACAGATGGAAAGAATACTTTGAAAGCGTGTTTATGAGTGAAGAGTCGTATGAATTAAATGAACTAGAAATTCCGAAAGAAGTGGAAAGGGGTATGGAAATAAGTTTAGATGAAATAATGAAAGCAATGAAAAGCATGAAAGCAGGTAAGGCAGCTGGATATGATAGAGTATCACTCGAGATGCTAAGGGCTGGAGAGGGAGTTGTGGCAGGCCTGCTGTACACCTTGTTTAATTTATGTTGGGAATTAAAACGGGTACCGGATGACTGGTGTAAAGCAGTTATAGTACCAATATATAAAGGAAAAGGGTCACAGCAGGACTGCAAAAACTACCGCGGTATCAGCTTGCTTAGTATTGTGGGTAAACTGTATGCTAAGGTGTTAATTGAAAGAGTTATGAAAGAAACTGATGGAAAAATTTGGGTTGTGCAAGCGGGTTTTAGAAAGGGAATGGGGTGTACAGATCAAGTCTTTTCCATGCGCATGATTGCGGAGAAGTTTTTGGCCAAAAACCAGAAAGTTTTTTGTGCGTTCATGGACTTGGAAAAGGCTTATGACAGAGTGGACAGGAATGTGTTATGGCAAACACTGAACTCATATGGGTTGAGCGCTGGTTTGATACAGGCATTAAGGTCTCTTTATAGGGACTCTAGTGCTTGTGTCAGGATCAATGGGGTCTACTCGGACTGGTTTGGCATCCAAAAAGGTGTCAGACAGGGCTGTGTGGCTTCCCCTTGGCTGTTCAACCTATTTATGGACCGGTGTTTGCAAACTTTGAAAGATGAAGAATGTGGGTTAAGAATGGGCGAGTTAACCGTCAAATGCCTTTTGTATGCCGATGATCACGTCATACTTGCGTCATCGGCGGCAGAGTTGCAAATGATAGTTACATTAATGAACTGGGAATTAAAAGAAAGGGGGAATGAAAGTGAACGCAAGTAAGACGAAAGTGATGGTTTTTGAAAGAGAAGAAAGCAAACGGTATGTGAAATAAGAATAGAAGGAGAGTTGATTGAGCAAGTGGATGAGTTTGTGTATTTGGGATGTGTATTTAGCAGGGATCGTAGATATGATAGGGATATAGAACGACGAGTAAATGCAGGGAATAGAGTGAATGGGGCACTACACTCTATTATGAAGAACCAGAATTTGTCAAAACAGGCACGTATGGTAATTCATAATGCTGTGTTAGTCCCTACTTTAATGTATGGTAGTGAAAGCTGGGTGTGGCAGAAGAAGCACGAAAGTAAAATAAATGCTGTAGAAATGCGGTCTTTAAGGAATTTGCTAGGGTGTAATCTGAATGACAGGGTGAGAAATTGCGTGATAAGAGATAAATGTGGTATGCAAGATGATGTTGTGACCAGGATTAAGAAAGGAATGCTTCGGTGGTTTGGTCACGTAGAAAGAATGAATGAGGAAAGAGTGACAAAGCAAATTTATATGGCGGATGTGAATGGCCGAGTCGGGAAGGGACGCCCTAGGAAAAAGTTTATCGACCAAACTGGCGATATTTTGAAAATGGGCCACGTTAGAAGTACCCTTAACCGACGAGCATGTATGCGTAGATATATGGATGTAAAGGAGGCGAAAGAGGTATGTCAGGATCGTGCCAAATGGAAGTCCGTAGTCTCTGCCTACCCCTCTGGGTGACAGGCGTGAGTGTTTATTTTTTATTATGCTACTATAATAATAAATAGTAATACTGATTGGCTATTGCAGGTGAAAAGCTATGAATCAATAAACTCTTTATCTTCTGAACGCAAGAGATCTGGAGGTGCTGCAACTCCTCGTTCAATTGATGAAGAAATAACATCTACAACACCTGATTTACCTGAAGGAAACGATGTCGACAAATCAGCGCCTGTTTCGCTTGAGAGTATCCCAGCTGCTGTACCCACAGTTGAAGACGAGCCATATTATGATCAAGTACCTGTAGATATCAATGATGGAGAATACGTTTATATACAAGCGGGTATGTCACATTAAAATTTAGAATGTAATTTTTTGAATTAGTATACTATTTAAGAGGAAATTCCGGTACCGAAATTACCGAGATTTCTCAGTTCTTTTAAAAGACACACAAAATGAAAATGTATAATTAGGATTGATAATGTAAAATTTCGTGCGAGACACGTGGTCAGCCTAGAAAGCTAGAGAGTTTGAAAATCATTTAGGTCACAAGTTATCGGAATCCGTCGATAAGAATTAAATTATTTATTATCGTCAAGATTTCAACCAGTGACATTTTTTTGGAGGCAACAACTAACAATCTGGGGTTCATCAACGTTTATTGTCCCTGCTAGCGAAAAAACGTGTTAAAGAAATAAGAATCAAATAAATTGAATTCGGCGATCACTAGAAAATAATATGATCAGTCATTACGGATAGATGTAGTATGATGACCAAATTTGCCAAATTCGCCAAATTCGTCTTACATCCAAAGCTTTAGCTTTCCACCAGTGTACCAAGTCCATCAACAAAGCATTACGGATTGCTAGTTCCGACACGCACAGCTCTCTGCTAGACAAACCGGCAGTTCAGCTTTTTAATCTCTCGCCGAAAGGGTTAAGTCAATTTTTATCGGCTTACACTGCCTCTGCTGGTAAAACCGGAATTTAGGACTGAAATAGTGCTCAAATCCCGGAGGCTTCAGATTATTGCGCCTAAGCCCAAAAAAGGCAGCCGTGCAGACTGTGCTTACTATCTCGTACTCTGCAAGATTTTGGAACGTACATTGAATGCCACCTTATTTCAAACCTAAAACAGAATGACCTCCTCACTCCGTTTATCGATCATACCGTCGGGTTCTGCTATGATCTGTCGGCAGGACAATTCTATAGTGAATGATACTTAATTCATCACAAAATAGGCGCCTCCAACGGTGGATGATATCTATTTTACGATATGATTACTAATTTTTTACCACATAATAAAGTGGCCAGGCGTGCGTTTAGCTGTTCATATGGTCAAACGCTGATTCATTGATCTGGTCAGACCATATCATGATGTGTTCAGCGGATATTTTTCATTTGATGAAATACAGCTATTTCGTGAAATGAGAATTGATCAATTCATAAAGTATAGTAGATCATACTTTATGAAATGATCAATTTTAAGAAATGGCTACAGCAGTAATCTAAACCTTTTGAATCCTATTATGTATTGAGATAGAAATCCTACAAACAAAGAACTTGTCCACTTACGACAATATTATAATATACAGAAATGTGTTATTTACACAAATAAATGAATGTTTTTTTAAAATAAATCACTACCTATTGTAATCTTTTTTTTCAGCAATAATACGTACCGTGACTTTAAGATCTGCTTAACCAATTTTTCGTTTTTTTTTAAACCATTTCTTCGGTCACTACTATATGGCGTCCTGAGTGATGGTCATGTTTGGTGGATGTTATTTTACGCTTAAATTCAGTGCAAGTAAAGTAAAGTTACAGCCTATATACGCCCCACTGCTGGGCATAACAGGCCTCCCCCTTATTTCTGAGAGGGCTTTAGGGCAAGGAAGTGTCCCCCGCGCTGCCCCAATGCGTGTTGGCGAACTTCACGTGTCTTGGAAATATATTTTTTTCTTACTCCTCAGACATGCAGGTTTCCTCACGATGTTTTCCTTTACCGCCGAGCACGTGGTAAATCAGCACTTAAAATTGCAATTAACAATTTCGTTGGTACCGGCGGGGATGGAACCCGGGTTACTCGTGTTCTGTTATATTTACAGCGAGCGTTAACCATTTGACCTACTACGGCTCTTAAATTCAGTGCACTAGCGTGCAACTGTAGAATATATCGAAGCTTTTACTTGTAATTTATTAAGTAAATCTTGATATTGAGGACAACAAACAATTGCATATTAAGGCTTAAATTAAATATTAAAAAAAAGATAGTAGCCTTAGTGAGCGGACTGAATGCTCAAAAAGTCTTGGGGTTCAACGCCGCCATTCGACCGCTGTCGTGAGCTACTCCTACTACACGCATTTAAGCCTACTTGGAGTGGTATAATTATAATGATATGATAGTATAATTAATAAAAGAGTGTAGTTCAATTGTTTCGCTAGTTGTTTGCAACAAATTGTAAATAAGTGACTTTTATTTAATATATCTAATTCTAAAAAACATATGTAATATTTTAAAAGAATATGATTATTTTTTGTTTTTAAAAGATAATCATCTTATTTTTTAGATATTTTACAGTTATCTGCTTTAGCGAGAACCGCTCCCCTACTTTTTTTGAAGGTGTCTGCTACATATTCTACTATACTTACATTATTAAAAGCAACTTTTTTTGTTGTCGCCCCCAAAGTATTTTTTATCTTAATATATATAAATTACGTGACACGTTGTTTGTTCGCGATGGACTCCTAAACCACTTAACCGATTTTAATCAAATTTGCATACCGTGTGCTGTTTGGTCCAACTTGAAAGATAGGATAGCTTTTGCCCATGAGTGACCCACAATATTTTTTTTGCGAATTTAAGGATTTTTTCATATGACATGACAAAGGGTTGCCGAAAAGGGCAGAACGACGTCTGCCTGTCAAGCTAGTTTTTAATATATAAGTTGTACAGGAGCCACCGGATCAAGCGACGACGCATCGAGTGGTACCAGCACGCTACCACTCAGTACAGCGGCAGCACCCACCGCTCCCACCGCCCCCCACGCGCCTGACTCGCCTCCCTGTGCCATTGCACCCAATTATGTCAACATTCATTACTTCATTCAGTGAGTATCAATTTTACTTTCGTGGCATAGTAATATGAAACAAGTTCAATGGTTAAGTCATAAAAAACCCGACTGCCTAAAAATTACTGTAAAGAGAAATATTCTAATTTAAATATTATTATTAATATAAAAACATTTTCTGGTTTTATTTCAATCATTTAAGTGTAAATTAGATATCACGCGAACGAAGTCACGGGCATTTGCTTGTTATGTATATACTTGTTACGAGTTACCAATTAGGCACTCATTCGTCCTTACCTATTCGATGTCGTGTTAAGAGATTGTGATGAGGGAAGCTAGAGTGCGGTTTCGAAATTGTTAGGACAACATTATTTTATTTGAAAAGCAATTTTTTTTCGTAAATGTTTAACTTCGGCCGATATTCCGACATAGTATTCACAACGTGGTGGCTACATACGCTAACCAGTGACGTATCCTTCTAACCTGAAAAAGGTTTATGTTATATGTACCCAATAGTCTTGTGAACTGTTGGAGTTATATATGTTAAAGGATGATAATAGTCAATACATTTTCTTTGATGATGATATAGGATATCGTGATCATCGATGATACTGTCATAGTCTTGTCACTGGTATATTCGACATAGACGAAATTTGATACTTTTTAACGACGGAAAAAACGGTGGAAGTATCGTCGCAGTACAGTTAATACCCACTAGTATCTGATAAAGATTAAAAAACATAATGTAAAAAATTCATATCGTGTCTGATTGCACACTGTATTCTGAACTATTTTTTGGTTATGATGTTATAGAGCCGTATGTATTCGCATCAACGCAAGTACCGGTTACTGATTACGATTTAGGCTCATGTTTGAGATCGAATACAGTGTTAAAATTTAAAACACAAATATATATATATATATATATATATATATATATATATATATATTCATCATCATCATTACAGCCCTTCACAAGTCCACTGCTGAACATAGGCCTCCTCCAAGTAATGCCACAAAGCACGGTACTAAGCCACCTGCATCCATCGACTTCCTGCATATCTTACCAGGTCGTCACTCCATGTAGTGGGGGTCGCCCTACACTACGCCTACCGGTACGAGGCTGCCACTCGAGAACCTTTCTTCCCCATCGGTTATCGGTTCTTCGAGCTATATGGCCGGCCCATTGCCACTTCAGTATATATATATATATATATTGACCTCGACTGGATATGACTTAATACTCAATAAGTAGGTACTGCTGTCTGTCTTGGTCTCATGATAAATTATTGAAAACTGGGAGTTAACTGGAAGAAAACTGAGGACACATAAATCTGGTAATTCTAGATTTCCAAGAATTTATCATGTATTTGTAATTTATTGAACAAAATAAGATATTTATTAAGGGATGTAAGCTGTTCACTTGTACAAGTTAAAAATTATCCTTTCACGTAACTGACAATATTGATGTTAATGCTCGGGCTCGAGACTCGTAAAGCTTTCGGTATTCGTATTAAATGAATTAGTATAATATGGTAGCGTGTATCATACAAGGCAATGAGGAAGTTTCACTTTAACATTAATTAATGACATTGAATGAGCTTCCTTTTTTTAAAAGAAACTATTAATTTATGTTTTAAACACATTGCACATCATTCTTTTTTTATAATTTTTATAGTATAATATATTAATTAGTATACATTATTTACAGTTGCTTACACAAATAGGCAACTGTAAATAATGTATACTAATTAATATATTATACTATACAGTTGCTTACACAAATAGGATGCCGTGTAGTGGCGGTTAAGAATATCCACTACCCCATATCTTCCCGTGGGTGTCGTAAGAGGCGACAGAGGGAGACAGGCAGGAGATGGGCAGCAGCATCTTCCTGATAACAGCAATTGTACGACAAAAAAAAACTGCGGTTGCCAACCCGCTCGCCAAGCGTGGCAACTATGGCAATATACCCCCCATGAACAATTACACAAATAGACGGCCCCCAGTCCCCGGCGGCCCCGCTATTCCTGGCTACGGTGGCGACCGTGGTAACGGCGGGGCAGGGGGTGCTAAGAATCTCCGGTGGAGGTTCGGTTGCCACCTACGACGACTCGACCTGGCAACATTTAACGCAGGCACTCTGAGGACTGACGAGAAGATCCTGGAGCTGGAAGAAGAGATAGACAAGTTGCGCTGGAGTATTATAGGATTATCCGAGGTCCGAAGAGAGGGGGAGGACACGGTGATTCTCGAATCCGGCAACTTGTTCTATCACCGGGAGGGCGACCATCTGTCCCAAGGAGGTGTCGGATTTATCGTCCACAAGTCTCTCGTCAACAACGTTGTACAGATTGAGAGTGTGTCGACGAGGGTCGCGTACCTGATACTCAGAATCACCAAACGGTATTCGCTGAAGGTCATACAGGTTTACGCACCAACGTCGGCACATTCCGATGAGGAGGTGGAGGAAATGTATAAGGATATTTCCAAAGCCATACATTCCTCCAAAACCCACTACACGGTGTTGATGGGAGACTTCAACGCAAAACTAGGCACAAGAGAAAACGGTGAGCTGAAGTTAGGGAAATTTGGAGTAGGGCAGCGGAACCGAAGGGGCCAGCAGCTGGCCGACTTTATGGAGAAAGAGGGACTCTTTATGATGAACTCTTTCTTCCAGAAGCGGCCCCACAGGAAGTGGACCTGGTCGAGCCCCGACGGTTCGACAAAAAATGAGATTGACTTCATTATGACGACTAGACGCCAACTGTTCAGTGATGTCTCAGTGATCGCAAGGGTGAAAACTGGCAGCGATCACCGAATGGTTAGAGGCACACTGAACCTAAACGTTAAGTTGGAGAGGTCTCGTCTAATGAAGTCAACGCTCCGTCCCCCTCGTGCTCTGATCCAAAATCCCGAAAACTTTCAGCTCGAGTTACACAACCGCTTTCAGTGCCTACAAGATTGCAATGCAGTGGACGATATGAATGACAAGCTCGTGGAAACTGTCCATGCGGTCGGAGCTAAGTTCTGCAAGACCCGCCGCAGAAGAACACAAAAACTCTCCGATCACACTCTTAATCTCATGGCTGTTAGACGGGAGATGAGGCTGCAATCGTCAACAGATTTGACAGCATACAGGCAACTGAACAGACAGATCTCCAAATGCATGCGGCGAGACTTACGCAACTTTAATACTGCTCGTATTAAAGAAGCGATCGAGCGGAACCAGGGCTCCAAAGTCTTTGCCAGAGATCTGTCTGCCAGAAAGAGCCAACTGTCAAGGCTGAAGACTGAGTGTGGCAGCATCGTTTCCGGGACACCTGAGATTTTGAGTGAGATTGAGAGGTTCTATGGGCAGCTGTACACATCATCGTTGGAGCCACACGCAAGTGTGAGTAACGATCCAAGAGCAAGTCCTATCCGACACTATTCCGATGATATCCCGGACGTCAGTCTAAGCGAGATTAGAATGGCTCTCCAGCACCTTAAAAACGGCAGGGCCCCAGGCGAGGATGGAATTACAGCGGAGCTTCTGAAAGCGGGTGGAACACCGGTACTTGAAGTCCTTCAGAAGCTCTTCAATTCCGTCCTCCATGGTGGCACTACTCCAGAGGCGTGGAGCAGAAGTGC